TTGTTCGCGGATCCCTAGGCGGATCCCTCCAATCTATTCTATTTTTATTCGCCGATGCCCCCGGAGGCTATTTACATTGCCTCCTTATCTAGATCTTCTCCCTTACACACAACGCGCTAGGTCGCGGGAGGGCGCTGCCGGCCGGTCGTACCTCGCTCAGTGGGGCTTTGCTTTGGGGCTTGGCTGGGGCTTTCTCGGGCGCCCAGCCGGCGGCGACCCGGCGCCGCGGGACGGATGATTACAACTACATTGGTGCTGGATGACTTGCAATCAAGCATCCAGACACCAGGAAGCAGCCTTTTTTCTTATTTTTTTGCCCAGCGGCAGCTAGGGAGCGGCGTCAGGTGCCACTTTAGCTAGCCACCAGCTGTGGCCCTGGTCGGGCCGGCATCGCAGCAGTTTCGCTTTGTTAGTCCGGTTATAGCAAAGCAGCTGCATCTGCACGCCACAACTCAGCAGCGGCAGCGGAAGCGGCGTCAGGCGTCATTAAGGCTAGCCACGCAGTGAGACCCTGGTCGGGCCGTCTTCTCCGTCCCTCGCTACGGTGGAGATCGAACAACCGTATTGACCTAGGGCAGCTTCACGATTTTTGCTTGGCCGCTGGGACGCAACCTCTCAACGCCATGATGCAGGGGTCGTCCTAGCTTCAAAGGGCTGCTATGATCCCTGAGCTGCAAGGGGGGCCAGGCGAAAAAACATGAAAGAAAAAAAGCTGTTCTCGGCGGCGGGGACGAGTCAGCCATAGGTAAACGAAGGGACGTATGTCATATCGGCGAAAGCATTAGCTGCTGAGACCGCATAGTTATAAAGATGCGCAACTCTACACGTGACAGAGGTCGTCACCAAATGGCTGTAAGCAGCTCAGCATTAAGTTGCTGTGTGCTCCACGCCTGTCGTCTCTGCCGGTGGGTTGAGGAAGGCACGAAGATGCTTCAGCTGCGTTTCTTCGCAGTAAAAGTCCTCGGACACCCACCGGGAATGTTAGTTCCATACCCGAGTGTGGTTTCACAACAATTCGAATCCCGTGGCAAGTGGAAGCGAGGCGGAGAGATAGGAAAGCTGTCGTATAGCTATCCACGACTTTTCGCTCGACGCGCTTTCGCCTGTACCTTGCTGCCTGACTTGCCTTTGTACACTATTGCAGCTGCCAGCGCACCTATAATTTGAGCATGCTAAGCCGTAACGGCTAGAATCGAACCCTATACCTATAAGTGAAGGAATAAGTAGGTAGCGCGAATCGAACGCAGTACCTTAGCTTCGAAGACCCCCCAATGCGCCAAATGGACTACGAGTTACAAGTGAGATGAGCCGCTACGGTAAGTGTAAAGAAGGCAGATGACCACCCCTTCAAGCGCGCAGGCGGCCTGCGCACAGTATCAGAACCTCCTGCAGCTGGTGTGGAGAGGAGGCGTCCGATCATGAACTCTAACGCACCTTGCTGCAACTGGCGCTACAACCCCCTTTTCTGCTTGCGCTAACACTCTAGACAGTTGATAAGCGCGCAGGCCCTTCACCTGCGCTGAATTAGGCATACACGGACTAACATCATCCCAAGCGTAGCAATGAACTTGCTACGCTTGGACTCAAAATAAGAAGTCAGTACAGCGCCCTCCTAATGTAGCGTTGGAATGGGGAGTGCAAACTGGGACGACGCTATACACAGATAACGAATGTCCACTTCAGATACCCTGAGCACACGATATTTACACTAATAACAGTAGGCAACCGTCGTCCTGCCCGAATAGAGTGCCGGGAATGAACGGGAGAGCGCATTTCTCTGCGTTTGCAAGAGAATATGCGTCCTCTATGGTAAAGAGGAGTGGTTCTACTGCCCGAAGAAGAAGAGAAAGGGAAAACACCAAAGTACTGCCGAGCCACTGCAGGATCGACGGAGAAATGCAAGCACCCGTTAGGTTAGCGAATGTACCTCTACTTGCGTTTAGGTTGGCTATTGAGCGCAAGAGGCGGGTTTCACGGCAATCTACGACCTTCGAGTATACATAGAAAGATAGTTCAGGTAAGCACGCAGGTGGCAATGTCTTGCAGCCAGAGTTTTAGACGTCTGCTCCAACACATTATAGGCTGCCTCTCCTCGGCGCCAGCCGAGGTCAAGGTGCTGCAGGGATCAGGAAGCTTTGGGGATGGGAGATGAGATCAGATGCTCTCTGGGAAGTATTTTCTGAAGTATTTTGATTTTTCTGTTGCTCACGATTTCCGTCAGTTTAGGCGGAGGATTTACACCGAGCAATCATCCCTTTGCGTATTCCTTCCTTACAACCTGTAGCCGCTATCCACTCGTGGATTGATAAGAAATGTTTCCGCCTGTACACCAAAAGAATTGAGAAATTAATTGAAATGCACTAGCTAATCCTGTGCATGAACCATTATATTCAGGTCGCAACGTGTCAGTTATGCATGCTTGGTTAGATTTCAAGGAAATTGCAACATGAAGCATTCGATACCGGTAGGAGCACATCCCGTAGAAATAAATTTACATCGCTAACTCACAAGTGCATAATCGCCTAATGCTAATGGTATTTGTTTTAGTCTAGCGTTAGTATTCGGCCCACGCCGTGTACACAGGTCAAACTTGCAAGTACCCTTCCACATTTCCTGTAGCGCAGAGAAAGATATTCTCTCTTCTTGCTACGGCGCTAACTAGTTTGCTCATGCATTTCGCCACAGAGGCAGCAGTGAGTTTTCAATATTTCAATAGATGGAGTCCGCGATAAGCGAGTGGTGCAATTTCTTTGTTGTAATTGAGCGGAGATGAGTTGCCACTATGACGCTTCAAAGAGCGAATTCAAATTTATATTTCCAGTGAAAACTCCTCATTCAATTGTGTTCGCGTCGTCGAATGAGAGCAACAGGCAACGCCACATCGACGGTCAGAGCACGGCAGTACCTACCAGGTTTGTTGCTGTGGGCTTCCCGCTGCAGATAAGCTAAGTAGCACTAGCAGCAGCATGAAGTATCTACCCCTAACCCGGCTTGTCTACTTTTTCTTTTTGCTTTGTTTTACTTCCCCTCTACTTTTTTGTTCTGGTTATTGTCGATGCATTTACAAGGAAAGAAGATGAATATAACGAGCACATCCACATCCACAGTGCTGCCGTCTCAGCGTATCACTATTTTACTATTTATTATTATGTGAGATATTTTTTGTCGGCGGAGTCTTCGATTGTACAGAGAACTGCCCTTCATTTTACCCTCTAATGGCATTCTCTTTAACCCGTATTCAAAAAGAATGAAAGGGACGCCGCGTGGAGAACAAAAAAACGAAAGCACTGGGCAGAGAGAGGCGTAGCTGAAGTATGCATCGTTTGTGGTTTCGGTATATACTGAGCATAATAATAAAAAACTAATAATAACTACACAGAGAGAATCTAAGTGATACAATAAAAACGGTAAACAAAAGTCTTACTCAAACTCAGAGTTTAGGTAAACCACTGCCGGGCCTCCATAGGATGCTGCACACTGCAGGCGCATCAAGCGCTAGCGAACCAGCTAGCTAACAGCTAGCCAGCAACTAAATAGTAGCTAGCTAAGAACTAAGTAGGAGATAGCTAGGAGCTAGCTAGCAGTTAGCTAACAGCTAAGCCAGCCCGCAAGCAATCCACATATTTTCGTTGTCTAGAAGGCAGGAGGAGGAGACCAGTCCCGCTGCAGCCAAGGCCCACTAGGCTCAGCCCGCGGCGCCCCCTCAGCCTGAGGGCACGGCGCAGAAGGATCAATAACCTCCGTACTTGGTGCCTCCTTCCCCATGTTGCAACTGCTGTTGTCATTGCTGCTGCTGCTGCTGTTGTTGTTGTTGTTGCCACTGTTGCTGCTGCTCTTGTTGCTGGTGCTGCTGCTGTTGTCGTTTTTGTTGTTGCTGCTGCTGCTGCTGCTGCTGCTATTGCCGTTGTCGCTGCCCACAGTGCCGTTCATGGCGAACCTGCTGGCATCCAAAGGGGGACTCACCGCCCCTGCTAAACCGTTGCTAACTGTGCTGCTGCTGCTACTGCTGCTGCTGCTGCTGCTGCTGCTGCTGCTGCTGCTGCTGCTTGGCTGGGCGGCCATGTCTGCGGTGGGAGGTTCCTCTGCTTGATTCCCCCTGTTGCTGCTTTCTGTTTCTTTAGACTGTCCTTGTAGTTTCAGCTGCTCTGCTTGCTGCTGAGCATCATCATACTGGGCCCCAGATGTGCTCTTCGGCGCCAGCTGCTGCTGCTGCTGTTGCTGTTGCATATCTGGATGCTGCTGCTGTTGCCGCTCTTGCTGTTGCATAGCTGGCTGCTGCTGCTGCCGTTGCTGTTGAGCAGCAAGCTGTTCCTGCTGCTGCTGCTGCCTTTCGCGTGGAATATCTGGCTGTTGTTGTTGCTGCTTTTGCTGTTCTTGTTGCTGCTCCGTTTGCTGCTGCAGTTGCATAGCGGGCTGTTGCTGCTGCTGTTGCTGCTGCTGTTGCTGCTGCTGTTGCTGCTGCTGTTGCTGCTGCTGTTGCTGCTGCTGTTGCTGCTGCTGTTGCTGCTTTTCTTGTAGCGTATCCGGCTGCTGCTGTTGCTGCTGAACTTGCGGCTGGTGCAGCTGCCGCTGCTGGAGCTGCTGCTGTGGCTGTTGCTGCTGCTGCTGCTGCTGCCTCGCTTGTGCTGCTTGTCCAGGGCCTCTCTGAGCAGCGAGGATGAATGCTCTATCAGTTAATCCCCGTTCTCTCCTCAGTGCCTGGCTCACAAACCCCAAACCCTAAACCCCAAACCCTAATGCCTCAGCATAAGAAGAACAGAGACCCTGGAAGCCAAGCAAAACAATAAAAAAAAACAACTGCATCTTAAACCCTAAACCCTAAACTTCACCTGCAACACCGCACGGAGAACCAGCAGCACCGCCATCGCAACGAGGTTGAGGAGGAGAAACAACACACGGGGCTCAAAGAGCAAGGATTGCAGCACCTGCAACGCAAACCCTAACCTTAAACCCTAAACCCTAAACCCTAAACCCTTACAGGCTAGCAACGTACAAATTACGCCAAGGAAAAAAAACAAAAACCAATCAGTTCCCCCACAAGTTTGTTAAACACTCATTTTACCGTAATTGCTATAATAAGTCAACAGCTTCTATTATATTAATATCTTCTATTATACCAATATCTTCTATTATATATCCATTCCTCCTATTATATATATATATATATATATATATATATATATATATATATATAGATATACTTTCTATTATACTAATATATATTATTAACCTATTGCAACTAATTAAGTAAAAGTGAGAAATTTTCATCACCTCTGCTGGCCCCACTCTCTCAAACAAATCAATCAAATAAACCGCCGCAAGCCCCGCGTACACCGGAGCAGTTGGTGCGTGTTCGTCTGCTTCCAGGCTTCTGAAAAGACAAACCCTCAACCCTAAACCCTAAACCCTAAACCCTAAACCCTTGATACAGATAATGCTTTGTCTGTCTCAACAGGGGGAAAATGCTTACCTTTTGAAATGATGAGTAGCCAGATACAAGTCCTAGAAACACAGGGACAAACCATAAACAGCAAACCCTAAACCCTAAACCCTAAACCCTAGCCCTAAGTTGATCGATTCATCTTTAGCAGCGCCGCTGCTGTGTAAAAAAAGAACAAACATCATCACCACCCAAGTATAGAAAGCCTGACAGCTGGAATTTAGCTCCCCTGGTTCAATTTACAATCTGGGGTTTAGGGTTTAGGGTTTAGGGTTTAGGGTTTAGGGTTTACAGCTAGAGCATTGTGGCTGGCTGAAGGGGCACTCCCTACCTGCGGCACTCCGATGCCGAAGAGATGCATTGCCCCCAAGTTATACCTCGCCTAAAGAACATACACAACGCACGACAGCTGCTGGTGCTGCTGCTCCTGTTGCTGCTGCTGCTGCTGCTTCTGTTGGTAGTGCTGCCGTTGCTGCTGCTGCCGTTGTCGTTGCTGCTGCTGCTGCTGTTGTTGCTGTTGCTGTGGCTGCTGCAACTGCTGCTGCAGCTAGCGTGTCAGCGAGCCAACATACCTTAGCCGCCAGTGCCGGGCCCCAAGTGGCAGAGTCCGCAACTTTACGATAAAACGCTGCACAAGAAGCAAAACCCTAAACCCTCAACCCTAAACCCTTAACCCTAAACGGTTGATTCCAGAGAGTGCCAGTGTTTCCATGTCTGCAACGACAACAACCAAACTTGCACGGCCCTAAACCCTAAACCCTAAACCCTAAACCCTAGACCTTACCTGCCGCCTCAGCAAAGTCCTTAACCCCTTCTTCTAACCAGAACTTGGGCTGAGACAGCCAACCGTCGAAAGAATCACCTGCAAGAGAGAACACCAACCCCCGAGATATAAACCCTAAACCCTAAACCCTAAACCCCAAACCCTAGATCAACGAATCCAATTCACCGCCTCTGCCTCGTCACCCCGGAATAAACCCTCTGCTCGGTCTTCCCCCAGTTTTATCTTTTGTAACAACAAGTGTCCGAACCCGCTTCACCAAACCTAAACCCTAAACCCTAAACCCTAAACCCTAAACCATAGACACGAGACGCTTCGCTTCGGATTGATTGCAACAAACCTTACCCTTCTCATCAACAAAGTCTCTCGAGTACTTCATGGTGGAACTGCGTCGCCGAACACCGTAGCCATAGTACGCAAAGTCCCCTGACAAACATGAACATAAACCCTAAACCCTAAACCCTAAACCCTAGCGCCCGGGAGCAGCGGCCACGTTGAGGTTGCAATGATGAAGGAGCAAATGCTGATTCGAACGATGCAATCAGAAAACCGAGAACAGCAGCAGCAGCACTAACAACAGCAGCAACTGCAGCAGCACGTGAAGCACTGGCGCAGCGAGCATACCCAGTCTAAGTTGCGCAGACAGGGCCCCCTGAGCCGCTGCCATTTCGTAAAACCTCTGTGCATGCAAACGCTTCCGTCGGAGGCTACCTGCAGCAGCAGCAGCAGCAGCAACAGCAGCAGCAGCAAGAATAGCAGCAAAAAGCAGCAGCAGAGATTGTAATAAGAGATACATAAGTCATACGAACGGGAAGGCCGCGTGGGTTGAACCCTTGACCCTAACCACGAAACGCTTAACCCTAAACCCTAAACCCTAAACCCTAGAATCTGAAAGTAAACCCTCAGAAAACCACAAATGCTGCTGACCATCAAAGAAGATGTCCGTGAGGCCCGCATCCAACAAAAAAGCCAAATTGCTTTGCGACGCCTGCACGTTCCAGCAAAAGCAGAGTAAACCCTAAACCCTAAACCCCAAACCCTCAACTCTGAAGACTAAAACCCCAAACCACGAACAGTATACGGCACAACTGCTGGCTCTGCGGGTGTAGGAAAAGGGCCCCCAACGCGTCGCCAGCTGGTGCTAGATCCCCTCATGCTCTCGCTGCTGCTGGTGCTGCAGTTGCTGGTACTGCGGCTGCTGGTGTTGGCGTTTGCTGCTGTTACTGTTGCTGGGGCTGGTTATGCTGGTGCTGGTGCTGGTGCTGCTGAGGCAGTGTTTACCTCGTGGCCCGCCTCTGCAAGAAGAAGAAAGTTGAAAGCAGCTTCATCGAATGCGCTTTGCTCGTAAGCCGCGTGGGCCTGCAACAAAGAACCAAATCCTAAACCCTAAACCCTAAACCCTAAACCCCGAAGCCCTGGAGTCTAAATATCTTATTCCAAACCCTAGACCTTAAACCCTAGCCAGGCCCTGAACTGAATAGTTCAAAGGCTGTGCACCGTAAACCCTAACCGTCACCTACCAGCCCCAAACCCTAGACCCTAAACAATAACTATGAGGCTTCCGGCACAAAACCTTAATCCCTAAACCCTAACAGCCAAGCTGCTATACCCTAAACCCTAAACCATAAACCCTATCTGTTGAAGCAATAAGGATACGTACCCGCTGCAGCGCGTGAGCGAAGTAAGGGGCTCTCTCCGTAGCGAGTTTCAGCAGCCCCACAGCTAAAGGGCAATCCCTCACCGCCCCCAAACCCGAGAGGTGCATCGTTCCTAGGGCGTATGCAGCACCAGTGCTGCCGCCCCGTACGGCCTTGGTTAGCCACTTCAACGCCTCTACAAATGATTTCGATACACCTGAAAACACACACAACAAACCCTAAACCCTAAACCCTAAACCCTATAGTTTAAACCCTGAACTCTAGATTCTACGCTAGCCCCACCGTACATGAAATCCATCGGTATCTACCACCCATGGTTTAGGGTTTAGGGTTTAGGGTTTGCGTTTCACCTGTGCCTGTGAGATAGAGAGAAGCCAAGTTCAGCTGCCCATCAGGGGAATTTAATGTTGCACTTCTGTTGAACATTTCGAAGGCCATTGCAGGCGAAGCTTCGATAAGTGGAGTACCGAAGAAGTACACAAGACCCAGTCCATTATAAGCTGTACATACACCACAAACCATAAACCCTAAACCCTAAACCCTAAACCCTAAACCCTAAGCCCTAAAGACTGGAGAGAAAGGGGGTCGAGAGCATCCGCTGTATCACTTGGGCTTGCAGCTGCAGTACATAAATATATTTCAAACCCGAAACCCTAAACCCTAAACCCTAAACCCTAGACCTAAGCTTTCATATGTACCTATTGGGTCTTCGTTTTCTGTTGCACCTCTAAAGAACCACTCAGCAGCTTCATTGAGGTCTTGTTCAACTCCTAAGCCCAAGGCGTACATATAACCCAACAGGCCCTTTGATTCCCCCCTGAAAACACACCCACACACGCGGCATCCCCCGTTGCTGCTGCTGCAGCTGCTGCTGCTCATCCTTCTGCCACTGCTGCTGTTGGACCTGCTACTTCTGCAGTTCGTGCAGCAGCTGCTTCCGTTGTTGCTGGTGTTGTCTCTGCTGCTCGTGCTCGGGTGGTGCTAGTCACGGTGCTGCTGCTGCAGCAGCTGCTGCTGCTGCTGCAGCTGCTGCTGCAGCGGGTGCTGCTGCCCAGCTTGGAGCTGCAGCTGTTAAGCTCTCCTGAGCTCAGCTTTCAGCGACTTCAGACCGCGTAGAACCAACCCTAAACACTAAACCCTAAACGCTAAACCCTCATAACTCAACCCCCAGCATTAAAACCTAAACCCTACGCCCCAAACCCTAAACCCTAAACCCTTACTTCCAACTCTTGCTGGCCGCAAGAAGGTGGTATCTAGCTTTTGCAAAGTTCTGGGGAAATCCGTCCACCCCAAAAAGATATTTCCGGCCCAGTGCCGCATGTACCTGAGCACGCACCAAACCCTAAACCCTAAACCCTAAACCCCCAATTCCTGTGCTGTACAGCGTAAACATATGCCTATGTCTGCAGCTGCTTCTAGAGCTGCCATATCGTGGGCTGGTGTATTTATTGCTGCCGCATTAAGGGTTTGTGTTTTCGGGTTTGTCAAGGGTTTAGGGTTTAGGGTTTAGGGTTTAGGGTTACGGCAAGGTTTCCTTCTTCTGCCTCATGCAGCAGCATCGCGAGCTGCTCAGGGTCTGTGCTGAGCCGCTGAATCTCTGAACCCTGGAGAGGGAAAGTTCCCGTGGCCAGCCGCAGCACTTCAATAGCTTGAGGGATCCCTAAGGCGTACAGCTGCACCCATACAAACCCCAAACACAAAACCCTAAACCCTAAACCCTTATTCGCGATACACAAACCCTAAACCCTCAACCCTAAAACATGCATCGTAACCACTATACCCTGGTGGGCCCCAGCATCACGGCCTGCAGATGAAACGCGGATAGAATCATTTCGCTCGGTGCCTCCTTAGGGTCTAGGTTTTTTAGGGTTTAGGGTTTAGGGTTTAGAGGTGGTTTAAGGTGAAGGGTTTACCCCAGCTGTTGCCTTAGCAACAGGAAGATAGTTGTTGGCAGCAGCAGCACAAGCTTGCTGCTGCTGCCCCACAGACCCATCAAGAGCAGCAAACTGCTGCTTCCAAGCAACAGCAGCAGCAGCAGCAGGATGCAGTGCAGTTGCTGCAGCATGTAGATATACAAGGGGTAAAGGGGGATTAAAAGCAAGATCTGGTGCAGACAGCAGCAGCTTCATCGCCTGCGCCACAGTCTTGGGGGCCCCTTCTTCTTCATGGGCCCCTCCGTTAGTATCCCCGGGGGCCCCCCTAGCCCAGGGGCCCCCCGCTAGAACCCAAGAAACATGGCTCTGCAACCTCTGCCATAGTTTCGCCCCGAACCCCTCTACTTCTGCTGTAGAATGTAAATGATATTCAAATGCTTTTAATGTTTTTAAGGGGCCCCATGGAGCTGGGATCGCCCGATCCCCAGCAAAGAAAGACAGCTCATAGTCCCGCCCCACAACCACACGTAAAGGAGAATCCAGCTCTGTACACACACACAAACCCTAAACCCTTAACTATAATCCAGAGAGGCGTAGGGTGTGCAAGTGTGTAGAAAGGGTTTAAGAGAGGTGGTATTTCCTGCAGCCCAGCGCCTGTGTGTGTGTGTGTGTGTGTGTGTGTGTGTGTGTGTGTGTGTTTAGGGTTTAGGGTTTAGGGTTTAGGGTTTGTTGGGGGCACCTATAAGTGGAGGTTCCTTCGGCAGCAAGTATAGGTTCTGGTGTAAAACCCCCAAAAGATACTGGGCGTCTGCGCTCCCCCCTCGGGCTGAAAGCCAGAGCAGCTGCAGCGCCGCCTTCAAGCTGCGGGCTGGTAGCGGGGGCCTCCCCAGGAAATAAAACACAGAGAGTTCGTATTGACACCTAACACACAAACCCTAAACCCTAAACCCTAAACCCTAATCAACCCATACGCAACAGCGTATACAAAGGGCCTTCGGAACAGATACAAATTGCTGCTCTACAAAACCTAGACACGAAACCCTAAACCCTAAACCCTTGAGCCCTAGGGCTAGGCAGGAGACGTATGGAAAAGGGGAGCTAAGGAAGAAGGTTTAGGGTTTAGGGTTTAGGGTTTTCTCACCTGGGGTCTGTGTCTGCGCATGCAGCGAGTTTATTAAATACTGCTGTTGATTTCTGAGGCAATAAAGATAGAGGCTCGCGGAATCCCAGAGGCAGAGCTGCCTCTGCAAACCTATCGTTGCTGCTGCTGCTGCTGCTGCTGTTGCTGCTACTCTTGTTGCTGTTCCTGCTGCTGTTTTTGCTGCTGCTGTTGCTGTTGCTGTCTCTGTTGTTGCTGCTGCTGATGCTGTTTGTGTTCACCTGGGCCTTCGCGGTTTGCTCGGCTGCTGCTAGGGTAGCACTTGCAGCAGCAGCAGCAGCAGCATCCGCTGCTGCTGCCGCTGCATCGGAGTTTCTTTCAGCACCGGAACCAGCCCTTCTTAGCCCGTCTTCTGCAGCATCCCGCTGCTGTTGACCACAGAAGATACAGTTGGGGAGGGAGAGCAGCAGCAGCAGAAGCAGCAGCAGCTGCAGGCAGCAGCGGGCCCCCAAGGAGCCCTCTGGAGGGCCCCCCATGAGCTCTAGCCTGCCACCTACGATGAGAGGTGCTGCCGCCTCAGCAGCGCTGGTGGTGAGGGGGGAGGCCTCAATATGTTCTCGCTTTGTTATATTTAGTTTAGTTATGGGGTTTGAGGAGATACATTATGCAGCAGGAAAACCCTAAACCGCTGCATTCAGAGGTGTACATACACCTGCAAGCAACCTACGAACTAGATAAAAAGTATAAAGATACCTAAAGACGAAGGCGGTGTAAACAAACCCCAGAGAGAAGGGATGTGAGCGCGACAAGTCATCCCCTGAATAATAACAGAGGGAGAAAAACATAAAACAATAACCTAATTTCCGAAATTAGGGTTTAGGGTTTAGGGTTTAGGGTTTAGGGATGCGCAGAGTGACGGAGGGCCCCCGACGCTGCGGCCGATGGACTTCGCATGCGGCGGTGCTAGCAGGACACAGGTGAGGGGTTGTTCTGTGGAATAACAATATAAAATATAAATTAAATAGATATATATATTATCAACTAGATCAAAGATATGGCTTCTCATTCATCCTCCTATTTGTTGCGTTTGTCTCAGGTATACAGACACCGAAACTCACCTGCTTGAGCATCCTCGTAACATAACCCCAAATATAACACATGAAAATTTACGTGGCCTCGGTAGTCTGCGTACAAGCAAATACAAATGAATACAAAACATCGACACGATTCTCGAGACTAGGGTTTAGCGTTTAGGGGTTTAGGGTTCAGGGTTGGCTCTTGTCCCCCTAGAGTCTTGTTGTTCAGCATTTGTATTTGCTTACAAGCTGCCTACAAAGTCCAGTAGTCTACAGAAACAAAGAAAGCTCTGTTGTGAATGCGTGTGAGGCTGTCTTATATCAGTAGCTGCAGCTCACCTCATGCTGTCTCGTGTGTATAACGAGCTTCAGGCCTTAAGAACTAAACAATGAAGGTAAAGTAGAAATCCTCCTAAGTTAGCTGATCCTCTCTCCCTGCCCCCCGGCATCCTGAGCATTCAGCTCATGGCCTGGGTATCGGGGGTAGGGGGCACACGAACTGCAGCTGCAGCGCAGCTCGCTGCGGCTGGCAATGCAAACCGTATAAGCACAACGAAGCTTCAACGAGGCTTCCTTTGATGCCTCATTCACCTCTATGTATGCGTACATTGTTTTGTGCGCTCTAGTTTCCGTATAAATCAATATACGACGCTTTTTACGTTTTTTTTCTGAACAGTTAACCTATAGAGATCGATGGTAGCGCTTGCGCACCACAGCTTCCCCCTTTCCCGAACTGAAACCGCTCCCCTATTTCATGATGTTTCTGTATCCTCTTCTCTCCACTCTTCTTCTATAGTCTATACTGCATCAGTATTGAGTTGTTCCACGGTGTTGGGGTAGTAGGGTTTTCTCCATTGCCGCCTAGCCGGCCTTCCTACCAGTTGAGCAACAGTTGATACCCAGAAGGTGTGCAAACCCTACTCTACATAGTAGAGAAGGAAAAAAAAAAGAAAAAACTACTCTACATATCGGATACATATTGGTTCGCTTCAGTCTCAGGACTGTGTTGGTATCTGTTCTGCTGGGTTCTGCTACGCTGGGTTGTGCTGTCTCTTGGTGGTTGCTGATTGCAGATATCTGAGCACTTCTAGGAGTAGGAACGGATGTGCTTTATTGCGGTATGCTGTTCTTTGCTGCTGGTTGTGTGTTGTGCTCGCCTTTTAGAGCCTTTTGTTGTTCTGCTTTGTTGCGGTGCGTGCGTTTGTTCTTCAAGTTTTCTCTTTCAACTATCTACAGGCGTCTTCGCGCCTACTCTCGGCTTATATATTGGACTGTTCGTATTGATCGATTCACAGTCCTTTGTTATTCATATGCATCACGATATGTGGCGTACGTATCACCGATACTACTCTGTTGCTTGAGATTACATATAGCACTTCATTCTGACATTTAATGTCACTATTCAGCTTCAGTTTCGTTTACTATTTCTGTACTCATCATCGGTAACGCTTTTGCTTATCCTCAATAACTCTGCTGCAACTATCCCTATTTATGCGGTAGTTACCACTTGGGTCCGTGTTACTAGTTTTTCACTATCTCATCATAATTCGCGTTTTTACTTTTTCGTTTTCTCACAATGCTTGTGAGTAGTGTCGCTACTCTGCTGGCTGATAAGATCACTATGGTATTCTGGTTTCCTGCACGTCCTGCCAGCGCTGTTCACATATTCACTCCTATCTATTAACTTAGTTTCTGGGGCTTTACTAGCTATGGTCTTCGTGTCTCACTTCAGGTACTATTATTATTAAGGTTCACGTGTATGTGTTCATTGACCTGGTGTCGGTGTTTGCTTTGTATGCAACTCACTTCGTGCACATGTTTGTACTGTTGTGTCGTGCAGCTTCATGTATGTGCCTCTGAGCCTAATGCTGCAGCTCTGTGCCCTGTCACAGGGAGGTATCTGCTTTCTCCAAGGATATATACGTACTCTGCAGTGAGCGCCAACTGCATACACTCTCTTCTCTGTATGATGGTGAAACTACGCTCGTTATGATATTCATCTATATTACTACAGAGTGCGTATATATATATATATATATATATATATATATATATATATATATATATATATATATATATATATATAGATGTAGATCACTGCTGTTTCATCACCCTACAACTTTGTTTTCCATTCTGCTTTTTCAACGCACAACAAGAATTATAATAATAAACGGTGGAAGCGGGGAGAAATACAACAAATATTAACTTCTCCTCCAACCACCGAGAAAAACATTCATATTGTGTATGTACTTTATATATTATATATAATTATATAATTATATAAATAACAAATTAGCATATATGCGCCTTCACAACTACACACAACACACACTCACGCCGATGCGGGAGTGGGGGTGTTTATATGAGCTCTAGAAAAGAAGACAAGGAGCAGAACGGAAGACAAAGTTGCTCTGCTGAGGAGACTATAGATACATATGCCCAGGCACGCATGCATGCATGCATGCATGCATGCATCTAGCCAAGCAAACAGTGATGATGCATGCACGCATGCACGCATGCAAGCAACTGCATGCATGTATCAACGTAATAAATTCTAGCTAACAAGGATTCAGGCTTCTCGCATGTATGTTCACAACATACGAAGCGTCGCCTCACTCTGTCTTGCTGTTATTAATCTCCATCTAGCTGCAAGCACTACACAAACTGCATGCTCTCCATTCTTACTATTGCTGCTGCTGCTGCTGCTGTTGCTGCTGCTGCTGTTGCTGCTGCTGCTGACCCCAGTCCCCACGTATGTTGTACTGCTGGTATTCTCAGCCGCAACACGCAGGAGTATCTGCATTTGCTGCACCTTGTTTTCCCTCTTCTTCTTCTCTCTCTTTATCTTGAAGGGGTTAATATATTTTTATGTTTATTCGATGCTAACTTTCTTTTTATCTCCTGACGCTTTCTCGCTTGTAGATATACGAACAAACAAAACACCATCTTGCATTGATGCACTAACAGTATCATCAATAGCATTGGGGGGGAGTTGAAAACGCCTACAAAAGAAACCAAAATTTCTCTCCGCCACCAAGCACTTCATTTGCTCTCCGTACACCTCTTTCAGGTTTATCTTCGGGCGAGACCCTGAGCATGCAGCAGCAGCAGCAACAACAGCAACAGCAATAGCGACGTCAGCAGCAACAGCGCTTATTGGAGTTTGAGCAGCAGAAACACAATATATGCATACAGCAGCATACAGGTATACAATCTAAACCACAATAGCAACATGTGTATGCATAAAACACCGACAAACAGATGACACAGATGGATGAATTTGTCGGCAGCTGCAGCAACAAAAGCAGCAACGGCAGCAGCAAACGCAGGGACTGCATTTCACGAGTCCCGCAGAAGCATCAAAAGCACCAGCAGCAGCAGCAGCAGCAGCAGCAGCGGCAGCAGCAGACGCTCGTGCGCGGCTCTATACAGCGGCCGCACTGCTGCAGCAGCATCGAGGGGTCAGCGCAGCAGCAGCAACGGAAGAAGCAGCTGACCTGAGACACTGAGACATCTGTTTTCTATTTCAACATTAATATCATCTTTTCTGAATCCAGGTAGATCGAAACCAAAAACAAGTTGATTAGCTTTTGCATCGAATACAACATCTACTTGGGGCCTCAAATTTATCTTTTTTGTTGTTTCCGCAACGCATGCAACTTCAAATACTGTATTCGGTGCAGCTGTAAAGGATCCCCCTTGCGTCACGGGGCACCAGAAACCCGCCTGAACACAAATAGCATAAACCCTAAACCCTAAACCCCAAACCCTAAACCCTAGGATCGTGCTCCGCTGGATGAAAGATGCTGCAAACGTCGAATGGCTTATTTCATTAGTGTTTGAAATTTGGGCAAAACAACACGGAGTGTATATACACTGGAGCCGCATACACACTTGCGCCGTAATACATATATATACATATATATATATATATANATATATATATATATATACACAGATAGACCCACACGGGAGACTCATGAACAGATATACACTACACCAACGCATGCAAATGCTCCTTGGCGTTTGTTTCTGGCGCCGGACTGAACCCCTGGAGGCCCCACATGCGCGCGTTGTTTGCATATCCTCATGTGCAGGTGTACATACAGCTGCAGAGCAGCAGATATAATTGGTGTTTGAGCCTTACAGAGTACGTGTAAGTGGAAGTTGTGGTGGTGGGGCCGCTGGCGATCACACGCTGAGGCGCATGCTCCCTCAAGTACGACTTCACCTCGTCCCACGTTGCCTGCATGCAGGAATCTCAAACAGTAAACCCTAAACCCTAAACCCTAAACCCTAAACTGTAAACACTAAGCCACAGGTTGTAGTACCCTGTGACTGGGCGAGGTGTTGAGGGCTGCGAGTGCCTGTGAAATACCTCTCCTGAATCAATCATTTGCTTCGTGCGGGGGTCGTTCATGAGTTTCTCCCTGGTGCTTTCAATATATTTCTTAAGCTCTTCGACTGTACCGTACGTCTGAGGGCCTGAAGAAGAAGTCTGTGTTGAGTCGCGAGATTCCGCCTGCTGAGACCATCACGCCCACCCCACAACAACAACAAAGGGCTAAACCCTAAACCCTAAACCCTAAACCTCAAGACAACGCCAAGCACGATACGCGAGCTGCAGTTCCTCAGGATATTCCCAAGGGCAAGACAGAACTCCAACGCAAAAGCAACACCGGGGCACGCTAAACCCTAAACCCTCAATCGTAAACACTAAACCACAGCCTCACAGGGTCCAGCTGCTGGCCTCCCCGTAACCTCCTGTTCAGACACTACCTTCTCTTGAGAATCTCGCCCAATAAACACATATTTATTCCGTATTAAGCGGAAAAAAAATAAAAATATTCAATAAATACATCGCGTGACATCCTCACCTTCTCAGACATTGCAACGAAGTAGGAACTGAGGTCGAAACGACAACAAGGAGCTCTTCTCTTGAAAGAGTCAATTTTACAAAAGGAATGTTCTAGAAGGCAACAAGAAATTCACCAATATATTAAATGCTTAATATGCATGTTGGTGTCGCTGCTGCTGCTGCTGCTTTTGCTTCTGTGTGCTGCAGGGGGGGAGCACCTCATGCTTGCACGGGTGGCAACGCAGCCGCTCTTTACGCTTTTGCTCACATCTTTATTCCTTTCCTCTTGATGATATACAGAAACAAAAGTGAAGTTTTAGTTTAAATTCTAGACTCATACAGAAATACGCAACTCACGAGCAGCGATACCCTCCAGTGGCTCTCCTTACTTGCTTCTTATTACGGTGTTTGGTTTCCGGTTGGAGGACCAACAGGAGGCAAATATGAATACTCTTTCATTTAATTTTAATTAGATTAACGTAAGTACTTTACTTTTAATACCAGGGGCATATATAATTAGTGGATACATTTCCGTTTGTTTTCCACACGTGCGTGTGTGGGCGCATAACCGCGTCCTGCGGGTCTCGCGAGATACTGCATCTTTTGTTTTCCTGTAAAGGGGAGCAACAGACTGAAGTCCGTGTTGAATTGTAGAAGATATTAATACATAACTTTTGAAATTTATAAATTGACTTTCGTTGCTTCTTTTCATAGGCGTATCTGCGCCAGCAGTTGGGCGGCGCGGACCCGGCATCCCAGTGGTCACCCACCAGAAGGTCCGAACTCGAAAAGTAAATTAAAGTTATTGAAACATAAACTTTGCAGTTTTCTGCTTATTGTTTTCCATTAGTTCATCCAATACGCCGCTTCGCCGGAGGGGTTGGGGATGTTTACCTGGGCGACTGGGTTCCTCCCTGTATTCAGAAAAACTGCAGTTTCTCCCATATGCTAACAGTGCTCATATAACCCTTATGTATCAACAAAACCTACGAATCCTCGCTCATAAGCATTCATTCTGTCAATGCACTCATGTTTATGAAGTATTCAGTTTCTTATGCGTGCTCATTACTCCTTATGCACACACACGGTCTGGTGAGCTAGACATGAACAGCATAGGTGAAGTTTTGCTGCTTGCTCTCCCCATGGTTTGAACCATGGGAGACTGATGCTCACTCTGGCATCCCTCTGCTGCTCTTGCTGCTGCTGCTACTGTTGATACTGCAGCTACTGCTGGTGCTGGTGCAACTTCAACAGCAACTAGCTGGAAGGCATTGTGAACTCATTCGTCTACGCGCAATAGCGAAAACAATGTAAATAAATGCGACGACAGAAGAAGAGCCTAAACCCTACGCCCTAAGGTCTAACCCTTAAACCCTAAACCCTCCGGCCTAACCCTTAAACCCTAAACCCTCCATAAGTATTTCGTGCAAGAAGCAGAAAGAGGCCAGAAAGCGCTTCAGTCTTTTAGGGTTTACAATCTAAGGCCGCCAACAACATGCGGCGTATGTTAATCGCCCAGCCTATGAGCTCGTTATGGCTGAACTGAACCCCTCTCTCCAAAACACAAGGCTTACGCACAAGTTCTTAAACCCTAAACCGTAGTTACAGTAGAGTAGTCGTTCATCTCCTGAAAGCATTGCTATAGTCTATCTCAGCTCGCTTCTAGTTGATAGACAAACGACAACACTTTTATGGTTTACATAGCAAACCCTAAACCCTAAACCGTAAACACTAAACCCTTTAAACTCATTCTCGGCGTGACCCTACACCGCAAGAAACCTTCAGCTCGCAGCTACGTGGGGCCCCGCCGGGGCCCCCCGCCTTTGATGGGGCCCTGGTAGCAGCAGCAGCAGTGGGGGTGCCAGCTCGCGAGACACTTCTCCTAAAACAATTAAAACAACAACAGAGACATGGTAACGAGCAAGAGCTGAAAACCACTCCTGCAGCAACAAAAGAAGCAGCAGCAACTGCAATACCCGCAGCGGCGACCGGGAATGCAGCACTGTGTAGCAGCAGAAGCAGCAGCAACAGTAACAGCATTCAACAGCAGCCGCTCCTCAACAACGGCGGCAACAGCAAACCCCAGCAGCAGCACCAGTAGCAACGTTACCAACAGCAGCGGCACCAACAGCAGTACCAGCAGCAGCAGTACCACCAGCAATAGTAGCATCAGCAACAGCAGCAGCAGTACCAGCAGCAGCATTAGCTGCATAAATAGCAGCAGCAGTAGCACTAGAATTAGTAGCAGCAGCAGCAGCAGTAGCAGCAGCAGCAGCAGTAGCAGCAGTAGCAGCAGTTTCTTACCTCCTCCTAAAGGGGCATGGGGGGGCCGCCGAAAGGGTTTGTCCTGGGGGCAGCTGGGGCCTCCTCCTATAGAAGCGGCCGACTCTGGCATTCAGCAATGCTAAACAATCATCAAAACAATTCGCATCTCCATCTTCGTCCAGGCTTACAGTGCGTGCCATAGGTTGTAACTGCCAATCACCACCCGCAGCAGCAGCTGCTGCTGCGGCTGCTTCTGCTGCTGCTGCAGGTCCGGCGCTGCTGCTCCGTACTTCCGTTGACCCACGAACAGATCCATGAGGAGGACCGACAGAACAGCTCCGCCCAGCCCTAGGGGGGCCCCTAGGGGGCCCCGCTGGGGTAGCTAGTTGGGGTGCCCCTTGGGTCATGTGGAGCCGCTGGGGGCCCCAGGCAGACGGAGTTGAAGGGTAGGCATAGTAGTCAGAGGGGCCCGGAGGACGCGAGGTGGCTTGGTGGGCCCCTCCTCCTTGGGGGCCCCCTGGATAGACGGCAGGCTTAACCAATACCTGCCCTGGTAGTAAAGTATTGGGAGATTCCCAGGCAGAGACGGGTGGATGCGATGCGTACGGGTTTGCTGCTGCTGCTGCTGCCGCTGCTGCATCAGTTGCTGCAGCAGAAGCTCCTCCACCTTCTGCCCCTACACTCCTTACATACGATAGATAAGTCCCTGCTTGGGCCCGGGGCCCAGGGCCTGCTGCACCCAACGGTATGTTGAGGGGTTGCTCAGGGGGGTATACAGTCCTCGTCTTCTCGCCGCCCAAAGCAAAGTCTGTAGCGATCCCATCACGAGTCCTCTTGACGATATTTACAATTCGCGCAGGCAAAGCAGACTGCAGGGGGCCCCCTCCATGGGCCCCGGGGGCTCCAGGGGCCCCCATAATCCAACGAGTTGCACCGTCGACGCAGCCGGGGCCCCAAGATACAGGGTAGCTGTGAGAGGAACCAAAGGAGGCCCCCGCGGGACCCATGCAACTGTTACTGGGGGGGGCACTGCAGGGAGGCCCCCGAATATGCGATGCTGTAGGGTGAGCTGCAGGCCGCGGGGGCCCCTGAGGGACCTCTTGATGAATGGTGGGGTTCCCATGAGGAGGCCCACCTCTATAGGGGCCCCCAAATCCGCCTGCAACACCATGAGATGCGATATCCCCTGCGTGGGGATAGTTCGGGGGCCCCCGCTGTCCGGGTGCCCCCTGTGATCCGGGGGGCCCCTGCGATCCAGGGGCCCCAAGGGCCCCCTGTGGAGGGGCTGCAGAGGTAGGAGGGGCAGCATGAAGGTTACTCGAAGCAGCAGCAGCAGCAGCAGATCGGAGGGACTCAGACGTGCTGCTGTGTGCAGGCAACGATCCGCCCACAACAGAGGGGGGGGCCGAAGTCCCAGGAGTTCTGTCGTCTTGCATTCCTGGCCCAGTTTGCTGCTGCTGCGCGTGCTGCTGCTGCTGCTGCTGCTGGACGGGCTGCTGCTGCTGCTGGACGTATTGCTGCTGCTGCTGCTGCACGCGCTGCTGCTGTTGCTGCTGCCCGTGCTGCTGCTGCTGCATCTGCTGCTGCTGCTGCTGCTGGGCGTGCTGTTGCTGCTGCTGCTGGACGTGCTGCTGCTGCTGCTGCTGGACGTGCTGCTGCTGGACGTGCTGCGGCTGCTGCTGCCCTTGCTGTTGCTGCTGGTGGAGCTGCAGTTGCTGCTGCTGCGGTAGTTGCTGCTGCTGCGGTAGTTGCTGCTGCATGTGTCCTTGCTGTTGTAGCCCGTGCTGCTGCTGCTGCTCGTGCTGGGGATGTTGCTGCTGCACTTCGCGAGGGACCTGTGGAATGTTTGCTGCAGCAGCAGTGGCTGCAGCACCAGGTGCTGCAGCAGCAGTTGGTGCCACATGCTGCGTGCTACTGCAGAGACTCCCCCTTTGCACGGCTTCTCGGTCCCTTCTTTCTCCTCTTTCAGTGGGAGCGCAAGAGCTCAGGCAGGATGGGGGGCCCCCAGAAGAACTGCTGCTCTCTCTGCTGCCACTCAACAGGATTGCCTGGCCCTTGAACTGCAGCTCGTACCCCTGGGGCCCCCCGGACCCCCGTGAGGTCCTTGCAGTAGTGGGGATAAAGACAGGGGCCCTGAAGGGTCCTACGGGGCCCCCAAGTTGGGGTGTATAGACAGGGTGGGGCCCTGGCATCTGGGAGCGGGTATGCATAGTTTGAAGTGTACGCGGGGCTTGTATGGAGTTTCCAGGTTGGGGTGTATCTGCAGGTTGCTGTGTACGAGTTGCCCACGTCTCTCCATGGGGGCCCCTCACTGGAGCAGAAGGGCGCCTGATCTCGCTCTGTGCTGTTCTAGTCTGAGCTGCTGTGTCCCTCGGGGCCCCTGGTTTGCTGCTATGTGAGGCAACAGAGACAGAGACAGAAGTAGGGGACCGTCCCCTCCTCGTCCAGGGCCTTAAGGAGCTCTGCAGCAGCAGATCGCTTTTGGTGTCTGCGGGCCTGAAGCGTCTCCGTGGCTCCTCCGGCAAACAGAAACTGCTGCTGCCTTTCCCTTCTCCTGCTGCTGCTGCTGATGCTTCTGCTGCTTCAGCACGAGCAGCAGCAGCACCAACCGGCACAGGGACCTCCCAGGAAGCCCCCCCTTTCGACGCCCTAAAGTGCGGCAGCTGGCGGTCAGCATCCGTCAATGGAGGTATCTTTGGGGGCCCCCTGGGGGCCCCCGGGGCACTCTGTGCGCGAGCAGCTCCAGCTGTCTGCTGCTGTTCAGCGGCCCCCATGTGCATGCAATGACTGCAGCGGGGCCCCTCCGCCCTTGTAGGGGTATTGACTGGGGGGCCCCAGGGGATTGGAGGGGCAGCGCAGGGCATTTCGGTGAGCTGAAGGTACGTCTGCTGCTGCTGGGGGGCCCCCTGGTGAGGTGGAGACACCCAGCAGGGGGAAAGAGCGTTGGTAGGAGAAAGGGGTAGGTGTGCATGCACACAGTACAAGTTGCATGCAGGGGCCCCTCCCCCACAAGAAACGCTCCGCGGACCCTCTGGGCCCCCTTCTCCTTCTCTGTTCCATCCACCTTGCCCGCAGTGCTGCTGCGGGGCCCCCCTGGCTGTAGAGTTGGGGGGCCCCCCAGAAGTACCCTCGCGGGATCGTCTGTTGCTGGGAGACACACGGGGGGCCCCCTCGGCCTCACTGCTGCTGTGTGAGGGAGTTAAGACAAGGGGAGGTGAAGAGATGGGGGCCCCCCTCGAGGAAGGAGACATGCCGAAGCGGGGGGCCCCCCAAGGCTTCTCAGATGGGCTCTCCTGGATGAGGCTCATCACCTCGTTCTGTACACAGCAGCAACAGCAGCAGTAGCAGCAGCAGCGGTAACAGCAGCAGCACGAGCCGCCGCCACAGCAGCAGAAGTAGCAGCTGGACTCTATGTTATCTGCGTTAGATATCTAGATAAGAAGCAGCAGGCCCATGCATGCATGCATGCATGCACGCATGCACGGGTGATGTTGTTGAAGTTTTGGGGCCCCAAGGAGACAACTAACCCGGAGGTCATTTGCTTCTCTCATTAATTGTTTTCTGCTTTCTTCTGTTTGTCTTTGCTGTCGGTGGCCTTTGCTGTTCTCTTTCCTATCATAAGATTTACTGCTGCTGCTGCTGCTGTTGTTGTTGCTGCCGTTGTTGCTGCTGCTGTTGCTGCTGGTGAGTGTTGCTGCTGCGGGGACGCCTCTGGGCGCCGCCTCGAGGGGATCGTCTCCGATCCCCTCCACACTTGTGCTGAAACGGGGGGTGAATATATTTGCTTTCTGTTGTCTCTTTTCCTGTTCTTCTTCATTGCAGTATACAGTTAGCTTCTGCTGCTGCTGCTGCTGCTGCTGCTGCTGCTGCGTTGGGGGCCCCCGGAGGAGAGGCGGCTCAGCCTTCAGCTTCAGTTGGACCTTAAAGAAGAGTCTGTGGCGCGGTGTCTCTTCATCCCTTTCATCTATCTCTTCTTCTTCTCCTTCTTCTGCATCTGCAGCATCTGCAGCAAGAGGCGTTGCAACAGGAGATACATCTCGTTGTCCCACCGCAAATACATCCGAAACACTCAGGGGAGATGGGGGCCCCCCAGCAGTTAGCTGCGGCGTGTGGGGCCCCCCTCCTGGTGTATCGATACCAAACACTGCGCCTAATTTAGTCCCCCTGTACCCATCTGCTGCAGCAGCAGCAGCAGCTGCTGCTGCTGCTTCTGTTGCTGCTGCTTCTGCTGATCCTGTCGCTGTATCAGCAATGGTGGTAGGGTTCAGAAGGCCGGGGCCCCCACCGCGATAGGGATGGAATTCGTCGTGGGCCCCCCCCCCGTTGGTGCTGGGGGGCCCCCCTGTTCCGTTTGGTTGTGTTTCTGGTGTCTGTAGATCGGAAGAGAGGCTCCCCTGCTGTTCATTGCTGAACAAATGGCGAACAGCAGCAGAATAGTAGCCGTCTCGAGGGTACGGGGGCCCCTCTTCAACGTTGGGGGGCCCCTGATGAGAGTACGGGGGCCCCTCGTCAGGGTACAGGGGCCTCTCGTGATTGTATGGAGACTCTTCTTCTATATCCCTGGCGAAGAGAAGGGCTGTGAGGTTAATGGGGTCGTCCTTTGCTGCTGCTGCTGCTGCTGCTCTTGCTGCTGTTGTTGCTCTTGCTGCAGGTGATGTTGCCTTTTCAGTTGCTGCTGCTGCTTTTTGCGTTGCAAGTATTAAAGATTCGCTGAGGTGTACAGGCACCTCAGCAATTGGGGTGAAGTGGACGGGTTTTTCTTTTGTTTTGAGGGAGAGAGGGGGGATGATTAAGGGTTTCCGTTTTGGTTTAGTTGGGGGGGGGGCCCCCTCTGGGGGCCCCCCAAGTGGTGTTTGGCCGTCTGAAGGAGTTTCTTCAGAAAATATAAGTCGCATCAAGTCGCTGCTGCTGTATAAACATTCCAACATTCTGCATAAACGAACTACGCGAGAACCCTCAAGCACACGCCAATTCTCATCACCCCCCAATAGAATCTGCACACACAAACACCCACAAACCCTAAACCCTAAACCCTAAACCCTAAACGCTCAACCATAGACCATAATGCGTAGACTCTATGCACAAAATCGTAAACCCTGAACCCTAAACCCTAAATCCTCCCTTGTGCAAATAACCCGGAACACCAAATCTTATAACCCAAACCACAAGCCGTCAAACCTAGACCCTAAACCCTAAACCCTAAACCCTCAACCCTAGACCCTGCGTCGCTTGCCTTGGCCTGGAGTTGTCTCAGTCTCTCTCGCATTTCTCCAACAGCCCGCAATCTCTCTTCTGTAGTTGGGAGCCACCATTCTCTTCGCCTCTGGAGCTTCAGCAGCAATTGCTGCTGCTGCTGCTGCTGCTGTCTCCTCAACAAAGATAGACCGAAGAAAAGTGCTTCGCTCTCGCGCAGCACCGAGCGGTGGAGAGCAAACAGCCGAGACCTGACACACAGAAAAGGGTTTAAGCATTACGCGGATTTTTAGGGTTTAGGGTTTTGGGTTTAGGGTTTAGAGCGGTGGAGAGCAAACAGCCGGGACCTAACACACAGGAAAGGGTTTACGGGTTACGTGGCACCAGCAGCAGCAGGCTCAGTAGCAGCAGCAGCAGGCTCACCAGCAGCAGCAGCAGGCTCAGCAGCAGCAGCAGCAGGCTCAGCAGCAGCAGCAAGCTTAGCAGCAGCAGCAGCAAGCTCAGCAGCAGCATCAGGAGGCTCTTTAGCAGCAGCAAGCCCAGCAACAGCAGAAGCAGGCCAAGCAGTATGTTTGTGTGTTTCTATGCACATTTACTTTTTGGGGTGTATAAATTGTCTTTGTATTTGTGTGCGTATATTTGAGGCTGCTTCTGCAAGACGAAGAACAGCAAGAGAAGCAGCAAGAGCATCAGAAGAGGGGTTGAGGGTCACCAGCAGCAGCAGCATACAGGGGCCCCCAAGTGTACCCTGCAGCAGCCTGGTTGCTGCTGAGGCCCCCCAATCAAACTCATCCACAGAAGCAGCAGATTGAGATAGACGCATCAGACTCTCCGTCATATAAAATAAACTTCTATTAACGCCAATCCCTATAGAAACAGCAGCAACACAAACACCCAACATATCAACGCATCCTATTGCTGCTGCTACTGCTACTGCTGCTGCTGCTGCTGCTGCTGCTTGTCAGGATGGCCCTGCTGCAAATCCTAAACCTTCAGGTACTGCGGCTAGTACATATGCTGTTGCGCATGCTGCTGCTGCAGTGCTGCTGCTACTGCTGCTGCTGCTGCTGTTGTACTATCTGCTGCTGCAGGTGTTGCTGCTGCTGCAGACCACTGTGTACATACAAAACCAAGTAAAACAGAAGAAAAGAATACAAGAACTAAATAAGAAAGAAAACAAACCTAGGGGTCGGTTGAGGAGCGTCTCCACGCTAGCAGCCTCAAAGAAAGTAATATCTCCTTTTAGGATTGTGATTGTATCCTTTACAGCAGCAGTATTTGTTTTTCTCTTTTCGTGTGCTTGCATTGCCCCTTTTGCTGCTGCATCTGCTGCTGCTGCTGCTGCTGCAGCTGCAGCAGCAGCAGCAGCAGCAGCAGCAGGTGCGTGCTGGGGGCAGGAGAGACAACACGCTCGCTCTATAGACAGACGAAGGAAACAGTTTGTCCCCTCACTGCCGAGGAGACTGTCTCTTGCCTTCTTGAATGCTGCAGCTCTGATTCACAACCACACAAACCCTAAACCCTAAACCCTAAACCCTAAACCCTAAATACAGAAACCCTCGGTTTGTGTACGTTAGAAGCAGTAGTATACCTCCATTCTGCTTAAACCCTAAACCCTCAACGAAAGGAGAGAGTATTGTGTCTCCTCTCCTGTTGTGGTACTTGTTGTCTCCTGTTGATTCTCTCTCTCTCTGTATTTTTCCAGTGTATGTTTATATCTGTGTTTATATCATTTTATGGCTTAGGGTTTAGGGTTTCACTAGGGTTTTAGGGTGTATATTAGGGTTTAGGGTTTAGGGTTTTGCTTACCTGGCCACAATCTGAACAGCATCTTCAAGTGTGGCAACATCAACTTGTTTAAATTCATTATTATTTTCTTTTTTATTTTTTTTTATTTCTTTTTCTCCTCTTAGTATACAAACAGGAGGCAATCTCTCCCCAGGCCAGAAGGGCCCCTCACACCCCACCAACAAATCCCCAACTTCTTCACCTCGAATCTCTAAACAACAAATCCTCACACTAAATTCACAACCCAATACACCCAACCGCGCACACGGGCACGCACCAGGGCCCCTTGAGGGGGCCCCGCGGGGCCCCCCAGAAGGGTTCTCTAAGGGGCCCCCAGGGGGCTCCGTATGAGGGGCCCCAGAGGGGCCCCCTGAAGGGCCCCTATCCACAGAGGGGCGCCCAGGGGGGCCCCCAGTTTGGGGGCCCCCGTGCGGTGTGTTGGTGAGGCCGTTTGCGAAGGAGTGAGGGGGGGCCCCCAAGGGGGCCCCCGTCCAAGGAGCGTTAGTAACGGCTGAGGGTATAGGTTTAATAGATGAAGAGGTGGGGTTGTTGTAGGAGGAAAGATGAGAAAAAATATCAGCAAGAGCAGAGAAAACTAAACCAGGAGACTGAACAGAGCCGAAGAGAGAATGGGATTTACCGCTACCAGAAGAACCATACGCTATCACCAAACTACTTACACCCTATATATAACGCAAACACACAACAGCAGCAGCAGCAGCAGCAGCAGCATTAGCAGCAGCAGCAGCAGTAGTAGTAGTAGCAGCAGCAACGGTAACAGCAGTAGTAGTAGTAGTAGCAGTAGTAGGAGTAGTTGGAGTAGGAAAAGCAGCACCAGCAGCAATATTAGTGGCAACAGCAGCAGCAGTAGCAGCAGCAGCAGCAGTAGCAGCAGCAGCAGCAGTAGCAGTAACAGCAGCAGCACCAGTACCGCTGCTGCTGCTGTTACTGCTGCCGCTGCTGCTGCCGCTGCTGCTTCTGCTACTGCGGTATTCATCTGGAGGGCCAAGGGGGGGGTTGCGCAGTAGACTTGTTCGTAAGACGAACAGTTGAGGGTTTAGGGTTTAGGGTTTAGGGTTTAGGGTTTAGGGTTTAGGGTTTGAACCTCACTTCTGTTGCTGAAAGGACAAGAGGCTGAAGGGTGTTTACATAGACCTCCGTATTAGCCGCGTTAGCATCAAAAACCCTAACAACAAAACACACACATATATGTATATATATACAATTATATATATATATATATATATATATATATATATATATATATATATATATATATATATATATATATATATGTATAGCTGTATAAACGTGCGTATACAAATATGCATATGCAAATATACACAAATAAATATGCATGCAGTTAGGGTTTAGGGTGAGCCGAAGAAGAAGCTGCTGCTGGCGTAAGTTGTTTATAGAGTGTTAGAGTGAGGGTTAAGGGTTTAGGGTTTAGGGTTTAGGGTTTTGTGTATATTTTTTTTCTACTCACTTGCCGCTGACACGAAAAGATGTAGAAGAAGTGGAAGAGGAGTCATCAGGAGTTGTATTTATTTCTGCTGCTGTTGGTGGCTGTGCAACTGAAATACAATTTTCAGATAAAGTAGAATACAGGGGGCCCCCAACAGCTGCAGATACACTGGGGGGGCGGAGACGAACGGAAACATGTGCAGGGATGGAGAGAGGAGATGCATCAGCAGCTAAGCGAGAAGGGGCTAAGACAGACATCCTAGTTTCTAGTTCCTGCTGTTGATCCTCAGGCTGTTGCTGCTGCTGCTGCTGCTGCTGCCGCTCCTCCTGCTGCTGCTGCGGCTGCTAAGGATGAGAAGAGTGCTACTGCTGCTGGTTATGAAACTGCTGCTGCTGCTGCTGCTGCTTATAAAGCTGCTGCTGCTGCTTTGTGTGCTACTGGTGTTGACAGATGGAGAGGACCGCCGGTTATGCTCAGGCGCTACACTGGGGCTCAAGTGGAGCTTTCAGAGAAATAGATAGCTGTAAGAGAACAAATACAATAATTATAGAGACAAATTATATTACTTTAAATAGAAAGTTAAAATAAAATAAAATAAACCAAGCCAAGAATGATCAGCAGCCGCCCAAGGATGGGGGGGACTGGCTGTGAGGCTGATGCTGTAGTGCACGGGCACTACAACAGCTCCTCTGTGCGGCCTGTAGAGGCCTAGTATAATAAAAAGGATTAAATAATATAGAATATATCAGGAATTATGACATCTTTTCATAGAGAAGATTTATAATAGAATCGGAGTGCTCACCAGCCGCCACCGGCTTGGGGGGCTGGGTGTGAGGCTGAGAGTAACTACAATTCGGGCACTGAACTAGGGTCAGGATCAGTTCTGTACTTCTGGGGTTTCGCATAAGGAAGATAACATGAACTCGAATGTATTTTAATAATTAATAGGTTTTATAGAATAGTGGGTTTAAATACATATATGCAGTGTATGCACTTTGTTCTGTTAGCTTAGGGTCCAAGCGCAGTAACAGCGAAGGGCCGCTGTGCACTGGTTGAGACTGTGTCTCACAGCAGACACAAGAATTATATTTATGATTCTAGACTTTCCTTTTTCAAAATATATGGAATTTAATATGTTTTAAATACTGTTATTTTAATATTTAACTCGTAATAGGATATATATATCGATGTAGAGTTTGCATCCAGTTCGTTTCACATAGGATACTGAGCACAGCCCGCTGTTCACCGCCGGTGCTGTGCGGTCTGCGGCGGCTCGTGGTGTACAACAAAGGAAAAAGAGTAAATATTTTAAACAAACTTAGATATTAGTAATAACATTTAAATAAAAAATTATAATTTAACTACATAAACACAGCTGTAATGCTGCAAAGGTCGGAACAGGCAGCTCTGCTCCTAAACTGCTCACAGACCGGCTCGGGCCTCAGCAGCAACAGCACCAGCAGCAGCAACGGGGGGTTATGGTCTTGTTTATGATTGGAACAGCAGTATTTCAGCAGAGTAGCTATCCAGAAAAAATATTAAATGCATTTTGTTTATTATAATAAGTATTTTTATGCTTAGGTGCTGCTTTCATTGTTGTCCTCTCCGCCTGGGCGCAAACCTGCCCGCTGGTCTCGCAGCTCTCCGGCCACTTGTAATTTTTCTTTTGCTGCGGAAATTAACAAATTAAATTAATTTTGTAATATAGACAATATATGGTGTACAAAAATACATAATTAATCGTAGTTTAATTAATTTAACTGCGTGCACCGTTCACAGCAGGTTCTCCCCCTTAAAACCGGTTGGCATAACACCCCAGAAAATATCATTCTTCATCTTGTCGTGTTTATTGAAAATAAATGAACATAATTAAGGTATTAGTCCATTTAAATAAATACATTGTTAGAATAACAGCGACTAATTTTGTCTTTATCTCTGCACCGCTCGAAGGGGCGTGTGTGTATACACCGCGGCATCAACACGCGGTTCGCAGCTGAAAAGATAAACATAAAATGTGTTGAATATTTAATAATAATTATCATTTTATGTAATTAAAAACTATTACAATTTTGTAAACAGGGTGTATATTGTTGTAATATTCACGAGAGTACGGACGGATCCTATGACAATGTTATGTTTTATATAATTGAAACAATAATTATAATAATAGTAGTAATAATTATGCTTATTGTTTTATTTCGTTTTATCTTTCGCGTTTGACCTCTGTCTGAACTGTATCCTCTTTTTATCCATCAGCACGGCTTTTCCTTTGCTTGTTTTATTATATCCTTTGCGTTGAATTTCAGAAATTTCGTGGTTTCGTTTGGCTCCCTAGGATTTAGGGTTTAGCATTTTAGGGCTTAATGTTTAGGGTTATAGGGTCTAGGGCTTACCGATTGGGGTTTTAGGGTTTACGGTTTACGGTTTTATTGTTTAGGGTTTGTGACTGTTCAAGCAGTGATGCTTTCAGCCCCAGTTGTCCACTTTTTTGTTCTCTCATTCTCGCCTCATTGCTTTCTCCTTGGGTTTAGGTTTTAGGGTTTAGGGTTTAGGGCCGTTTAGGCGGCAAGAGCAGGGGGTAGAAGCAACCGGGAAAGAGTTTCGGGTTAAGGGTTCAGTTTCTTTTTATTCGTATTCGTTTTTATATTGCGTTTATCATTCGCTTCTGTTTGCCTCTGCAAATGCTTAGACACTTACAACCTCCTAGACTCTAAAACCTAGTTTCTAAACCCTAAACCCTTTCTTGGTTGCGTGATGCAAAACCTTGTTAGGACCTCAAACCCTAACTCATTTTTTCGCACTAGAGACTGCAAAAGGCAAATAAAGGAGAGCAACATGCACACATTCCTACCCGTTTCTTGTGCCGTAAAGATCCATCAGCAGCAGCTGCTGCTGCTGCAGCTGCTGTTGCATCCGTTAGAAAGTTGCAGTTGAACTTCACGCGCCTCCTTGAAAGAAACAGCCAGAAAGAATCTGCATCGGGCGAGGATCAACAAGAAAAATGTGTGCACCCAAAACTAAGAATGCAAAATACAGAAATAATTTGTTTAGATAAGCTCTCTGATCTCACGCCTTCACTCCTGGGGCGCCACGGCAGACAGACTCAGTGGTGCGGAGAGGAGCGGAGATTCATCTTAAACGCAAAACCTTTTAAATATAAATATACACTAGTTCTGTTATTTTTAAATAGAAAACTACAGATTCGAAATGCTGTAAGATTACTGCCGTTTCAACAGGCGTAGAAATGCTACAGAAATCCCCCCGACCCTCCAGGTGACCATTGGTAGGTTAGCTGCAGTTTAAGGGGTGTCCATAGCCATTCAATAAAGGCAAACAGTAAAAACAAAAAAAATATTCGTATATAAATTTGGATAAATAGAAGGTGTCTGCAACAGAAGGGGAAAATTTCAATGAAATATAACCTAAAGAACACCCCCTCCCAATCAATTCGTCGAGGGGGGGAGAACGGCGCTATTCGCTTCACGGCCTATGCTCCGCAGTTTCATTGGTAATTCAAGAAAATGAAAATATAAATATAATTTGTTGCCAATTAGTTTTGAGAAAACATGAATAATACCACTTTAGAGCCGGTGTTTTTTCTTCATTCCTGCTCATCATCAGGTGTGCGGTGGATGCACTCACCGGCAGAGTCGGCTGAGCTGCTCTCGGTAGAAATGGCATTGTAAATGTTGAATTACATGAAATACTTTCAAATCCAGTAATTTAAATTGTGTTATATCTATCAGAAGGAACTTTCTGCAGAAATAAACACAAGAGAGCCCACAAGGGGTACAACACACAGCCGCTGCTGCTGCGTCTGTGTTCATTCACGTAGGCGGGGGGGCCCCACGGTGGTTGTTTGTTTTAAACAGCAGCGTAAAAGGGAAATGAATACCCTGGTTTTCATATGAGTATTTTCCCCAATAGATTTTGATATGCACGACGTATGTTTTGCTCCTTTCAACTGGGTTTAAGCCCAGAGGACCTCTATAGTCCTCCCGCCAGGCACTGAGCGCCAACCCCCTCTTCTGCAGCTCAGGCACCCATTTTTGGGTGGTTCAGGGCAGCACAGTAAGGAATACATGAATTGAAAATATATTTTAAACACAGTTATATCATTTCAATAGACGGAAACGCGCTGCCACACAAGGCTCGCGCTGCCGTATGCACAGTATGCGTTACCCTCGCACTAACCAAATAAATTTAAAGCTCCTTGATGAGAAAATGCCTTATCATCTGTCGTTTAATTGCAATACAAGAACACAGGGACGTACGGAGGAGCGCAAGAGGGGAATGCTAACAAATGCAGCTTTGTGTGGCATTCCAGTGGGCGCCAGATACATGGAAATTGTTATTTGCATTTGTTTGTTTTTGTCTTGCTGCAGGGCCAAAAGGACTTAGGGAGGTGAAGGGCAAAACGCCGGGGAGAAGTTGTATCTGTGGCGCTTCTCCTCTCCTTGTCTTGTTGTTTAGTTTCCCTTTTGTTGTTTTGTTGTTTTGTGGGTGGTAGGTGTGTAGACAGGTGCATTAAGTCCCCCGCTGGCGGATGCATTTTGTTGATTAATGTCATTTTTGAATTTGTTTGTAGCGGGAAACACGAAAAGGGGAAGAAGAATAAGAAGAAGAAGAAGCAGGTGCTGCAATGTTTTGTCGTGGGCTGACCGTCATGCGTGCACAGAGTTGCATGGTATTCAGCCTTCGGCCATTCCCCTTGAAGAAATGTTTGTCTTTTACCTTTTTAATTCTTTTTGTTTTCGCATGCCAGGCCCTAGCAAGCAGCCATGAGAGAGGTATAATACCCCCGCCCAGCAGCAGCGCCAGCAGCAGCAACAGCAACAGTTACAGCAACAGCAGCAGCAGCAACGGCAACGGCAGCAACAGCGACTCGAGTCAGAATGTTCAGATGCATACAAATCATAGAAAACCCTACAGGTTAAACAGAAATAGCAACCAGCAGCACCAGCCCAGCACACAAACCACAACGAACACACCAACACACAGTACAACGGCTCAGCTTCTTCACCCCCCAACAACCACAAAAGCGCCAGCAAGAACAACAAGTGAAACAACAGCAGCATCAACAGCAACAACAACAGGCGCAGCGGAAGAAGCAGCAGCAAAAACCACAACAGCAGCAGCCGTAAGTACACTCGATAATACCACGTCATCGACGAGATCTCGCTTGATTATCAGATCCCGGATAGACTCACATACAACTCGAGTTGCTGAAGACCCAGCAGCTGCTGTTGTCGGTGCTGATGCTGCTGCTGCAGCTTCTGTCGCAGTTGCAGAGCATGAAGGAAGCAGCACAAGCACCAGCACCAGCACCAGCACAAGCACATGCACCGCCAGCAGCAGCAGCAGCAGCAGCAGCAGCAGCAGNCAGCAGCAGCAGTAGCAGCAGCAGCAGCAGCAGCAGCAGCAGCAGCAGCAGCAGCAGCAGCAGCAGCAGCGCTGGCGCAGCAATAAGCGAGGAGGCAGCTGCATCTGGTGAAGTTTCTTCTGGCCTCAAGCCGGAGCAAAGTTCGGGGCTGAGAACACAACCGGGAGCGGGCCCGGGATCGGGATCGAATGTTCGTCGGCCGCTGAGGTCTCATGCATCACCAGAGAGGCCGACGGTGTGGCCCCCCCAGGGGAGCCTACAGGGTCAGGGGGTGCCTCACTGGAGTACTACATCTGGGCCTTTACACCACCTCAGTTTTCACCCTCGAAGCATAATAAATTCATCTTCATGGGGGGGGCGAATGGCGATATCTGAACAAACACGCTTCTCTGTACCTGTACAATCATCGAGGCCAATGACAGGGCTTATTAGAGGCTTCTCAGCAAACAACGCAGTAATGGGCAGTGTAGGGGGACAACGGACAGCACCTCGAGCTGCTTCTGCTGCAGCTGCTGCTTCTCCTTCTGCGGCTGCTCCTGCTGCTGCTTCTGCTGCTGCTTCTGCTGCTGTTGAAGTCCGCCCGACAACCCTGCACAGCTCAGAGGGCGATAGAACATAGAAAGAGAATACATAAGATGGGGCTGTAAGCCAACGCCACCACACAAGTTCAGAGAGAACTAAAAACATCTGTATGTACACCTTTCTGCTTTTGCTATGGAACGACTCTGATGATATTTTGTTCTTCTCGGTTACCTTTGCGTGCCGAAATTTGGTTGGGATGGGCTGCCATGCTACATGTAATACACACGAAAGGTTTATACAGTGCATTTATATGTTATAATTCTATTTATATATATTATATATATTATTTATAGCACTGCACAGACACTTGTACTTACGGTGCGCACACAGGTTTATAGAATACATTATATACATTGCTTACATTTTATTTACAGACGCTCGTATGTACTGCACCCCCCACACATCCTCTACACACAACTCATTCAAGTTCGGCTTACATGCTCATAGACAGCGTACGCCTAATATATTATATAGTCAGAACCTGAAGTCTATTCAGATCAATCGTCCTCTACCTATATCTACATACATCAATACTCCGGATAGAGGTGTCTCTAGTACTCATGCATAGGGCTATGCTGACGCCTATATACCTAGATACATGAATGTTTATATATATATATACATATATATATATATATATATATATATATATATATATATATATATATATATATATATATATGGGGAAATACGCCTATACATAAGTGCCTATAATATGCAATATATACACAACTGCATATGTACATATTTGCGTATATATATTTCTGCATCTAGATTTAGCTACTTTGCGCCTTTTTCGGAGTAAATATTAGTATGGGTGGAAAAATATTAAATTGTCTGCCTCTCCGTTGAAATTCTCGAGAGATAAAAATGGCAGCAAAAACGTAAAAATATCGCCTCCAATAAATGAGGCCACCATGTTAGTTTTTAGCGCTTTAAAAGCAATTTCCGCTGTTACTGTTGCTAGCTGGTGCTGCAACATCTTTATTATTGCTGCTGGCGTTTGTTCGCACAGCGTAAAGCAACATGTCTATATAAAACTCGCAGCAAATAGCCAGGAAAAAATACGAGGGCATTTGCTGCTTTCCTAAATAAGTTAGACTGAGGCGAAGTTGATGGCTCCTTTGCGTGTTGAGTTGTCATCTCCTTCACTCCTCTTCGTGGTTGTCGATTCGTTCTTTTTCGGTTTCATTGTCCATCTTAAACTCCTTAGTTTCTTGCCTATGCGCCTCCTTCCCCCCTCCTCCCCCTCAGAGTATTCCCTTCATCCTTCTCAAATAAAAACCAAGAGTTACACACAACCCATATTCTTATCTTGTGTGGAACCTCCTGATACGGACTGCGCTGCTACTACTGCTGCTGCTGTTGGCGTTGCTTCTGAGGCTGAGCATCGCCTTAGGCAGCAGGGAGCAGCGAGAGAGCTGTTAAGTATCACAGAGTTATATGCTGCAGCATAACGGGACAGGCTTGCGCTTAAAAGAAGAAATCTGGAGTGTGTATTCACTTTACATATGCTCCGCTGAACCAGCCTCAACTGAGCTGTCGCTCCAAACTCAAGTTTCTGTTCACTCTGGAGCTTTCAACTGGAGCGGGAGGAGCATTCAGTGCATATCATTCTTGCTTTCCTGCTGTAATTGACAATCCCACAAGACATCCGCCGTCACTGCATACACCTGAGGCGCCCTACTTTGTCTGCTTGCTCTTTGTGGCTGCACCGAGGCAGGCATTCTCCACTGCTTTACGTGTTTCACTTTCGTGAGGAGTTTGTTGTCTCCAGTGCCCGTTGGTTTCTGCAATCATGCTTCTAGGAAAGCTAGGGAAGTTCGTTGTACACCGCGGTATGTTTACTTGATTGGTTTCAAAATGGTGAAAATGCAGGCGAGACCCGTCAGCTCTGCAGGCAGTGATATAGGAGCCACACACTTGCAACATAAAGGCTGCTGGAAGCGCAGAAATCTGTTTGATTTCGTCGCCTGCTACGCCTGGTAGATGCATTGCAAAAGACGAATCTTGATCCGAAAGGTTGTGCAGGCCGCTGCTATCATTCAGCTCTCCTATAAGACAGCATCGCGCCTCTTTGCTTTCCTCCACTTCTTTGTTTTCTTGTTTGTTTCCAGAAAAAGTAGTTTCTGAAATATGAGGCGAATTATCTTCTGTGTTTCTGGAGAGGTGTTCTTGGCATTCACTCTTCAGTTTTCCGTCTTGGCAATCGTCTTCTGTTTTCGTCGCTTCGTCTGCACTAGAACTTTGAAAATCTTTTTCTTTTTCTGAGTTCAATTTGGCATTACTCGAAACCTCGTCATCAGATCCTTCCACTGAATCTCTTTGCCTGTACACCGGAATGATGGGAGAATCTCCTGCGCACTGCGTAGTTGTTGTATTGTTCTCAGCAGGCGCTGAAGGTTGATGATGGCTTCGGCGTATACGGCCGTCGGACACTACCAGTTGACTTTCATCAATTATGTCTGCTACGCCGCAGGAGCTCAACATTGCCGCTGATCCTTCTAGAAGTGTAACCACCCTCTCCATGATACTAGCAATAAATGAACCTGAACCCATACTGCTCCCTTCCCCTTCTTGCTGGCATCGTTGCTCTTGTGACTCAGTTGCAAAAGGGTTGCAGGGGACAGCGCTTAAAACACTGGTTCTCTGTTCTGTTTGATCCTCTGTACCTTTCCAATGCGATGAGGGAGATGCAGCAGCTTCTGGGTCTGCAGAAACCGCTTCGTTCGACTCCTTAGTCGATGGCTGCAAGCCCTGTGCGGAGCGATTGTTGGGGTCACACTGAGGTGATTCAGGGACGCAGTCAAAGAAGGGTTTGAACGCCAAATCAGAAAGCGTGGGTATGCTGCTTGGTCTCCAGCGGCCATTCATGAATGCCTTCCAACCGTGGTCTGCTCCTTCGCTGGCAAAGTTGCGTGGTCCGTCTGGTACTCGGGAACCCGATTGGAGGAAGGCAATGTCGAGGGTGGGAGTTTGACTATGCAGCGCCGTTGTTTCTAATGCAGCAGAGGCAGTAGCTCCAGAAGCTGCTGCTGCCGCTGTGTGAACTGCTGCTGTTGACTGTGAGTAGTTATTGGGCCTTGACGGCATTTCCTCAGGATCGCTGCATTCCCCAGAGTCCCACTCTTCCCCTTCTATGATGGTAGGGCAGTCATGTGGTAGCGCAAAAGCTCGCCTAATGCCGTATGTTGGATTTGCTGCATAAATAATGGGGGTTTCGTTCAGTGGTTTTGCCGCTGCTGTTCTGTTGTGCTGCGCTCTGCTGCTGGTGACATCGTTCTCAAAGATAATGGTTTCGACATCCTGCTCCTGAACAAGTCTATCACAGGGCGTCTCCGTGGTGTTGGAGGGCGTCTCAGTTTGGGGTGTTGGCACGCTAGAGGCAGCAAGTTGCTGCTGTTGTTGGTCCTGTTGCTGGCTTCGGGAGTTTCGGGTTTTGTTCTTTATTTTGCGGACAACATCTTTAATGACTTTCAGAGGACCCATTGTCGAAGTTGTTCCTCTCTTGCGTCTACGACAGATGAGCACTTTGGGGCCTGCGAAGGCAATTGGGGGCTCCGGGGTAACGGTAGTTCCTGCAGTGGTTCGATTTGCACGGTTGGTGAGGAATAGCATACGCAGACGACTGACGCGAGAAGGCGCCTTTTCTACTGCAACAAGAGGCTCCATTATTTATATATGCACACAACTTGATAAATATTCAGAAACAGCTACACCTTAGGGAGAAGGAGAGTCAAAGGGCTGGTGTAGCGGGCAGCTCGACACAACAACCCGCCAGCTCAGATAGAGGTAAGCTGCGATTTCGTCGGGAAGATAACTTCCATGCGAGGCCTAAATCAGAATGGAAATAGAGTTAAACAGAAATAGAAAAATCAACAAAGAAAGTTGGCTGGTTGTATCTTTCGGTGAGACTTTCAACAGCAGTTGATAGCGTGGTGAGCCACAGGCTCAAACCACCCGCCTCGAGATCACCACTCCTCAGCTCGGGGCTGCCGACAGAGTTGAACGAGTGTACAGAACAGTTTGCCTGGGACTTTTTAAATGACTAATTGTTTACTTATAACAAATATTTAGAGAAAGGCGGTGCTAGTTTCGTTGCTGGACACGGTTAGCTGCCGTGGTAGATGGATGGACCGCTCGCCAGAAGACAGTTTGCAGCACGCCCGCCGCTGGTGATGGTGTGACCTGGCGACTTCCTCCGGAACACACGGATAAAGCGGTGATATTTTGAATATCCGTTGACAAAAAGAGTATTTAAATGAAATTATGCAGATATGTTGGATTTTCGGCACAAAGTTCCGTCGTTTTTACCACCCCTTGCTCGCCCCTGTATGTGTTGGTTACCCCCCCGGCTCTCTCGAGGTTAACATTTCCTGTTAGACATCCCTAACGCAAAAAATCACCCCAATAACTTCAATGACATCAGCACTTCTAAATTTATAGAAGCTAATTGAATAACACTGTATACAACACGAAGCTAGGGCTCCCCCCAAAATTTTTTGAGCCGACGAGCCATTATACGCAGCTTGATCGTAACAGCCAGGCGGTCTTGCAGTGCTTGCTGCATGTATTGTCATTCAGAAATGGTTCTATGCTTCACAGAGTATTCTCTTCTTCTATCACGGGTTTTCACTCATATTTTCACCTATATCTGCATGCATCGGAGCTGGTTTTTGCAGCAAAAACCAACGATCGCACGATGCCGGGCAGATGAGATGCGTGTATATATCCGGCAAATAGCCCCCAAATATGATGAATAGAATCGTGTACTTTAGTGGAGCTTAGAGAGCAGCGTTCTCTGGACCACGCGCGCCTCCAAGCACGTGCAACATCCTGCGGGCTCAGGGTTGAATGCTGGGGTGAGGGGTAACGGGTGCGGGGTAAGGGTATTGGTCTTATCAGAGTATAGTCTTAAGGAATGACTTTAAGATGGAGTTTTGGTGGTGTATATTTGTTTAGTAGACGTAGCATGCATGGTTAAGGGCTGCGTGAAAGAAGAAGAGTTCCCTTTGCAGCTGGTACATGCATTCCCATACGAAGAAAAGGTAGGAGCCAGTGAAGTCAAGCCATGGCTGAAAAAAAGCGAAAAAAAGGAAAGGGGCTTTCTTCCTCTACTAACATTTGTAAACAAAAGTGCTGGGGTCCATGTCATAAGCTCCCAACCCCCAACAGTGGGCGAAGAACATCAATTGAAGTCTGGGCAAACCCCAGCTGCTCTTGATGATGATGCTGCTATTGGTAAATCTACTGCTGCTTCTGGTAATATTGCTGTCTCCCTTTGTGCTGCTCTTTGGACAGCCCCCTGGCTCAGCAGCTTTGATTTGCATGCAGTTCGTCCCTTCGTCTCAGTCTCTTGCCACTCCATCGTCCAAGGCGTCTCCGGACCTTATCTGAATTCACTAGTGGGTGCTCCTTGCTTCTCATTGGGAGCACAAGCTGCGGAGCCGAAGTTTGGTGCACCCATTGGTGAGTGTGAATTCCAGCGCCTGAGGGCCTTGATATCCCTGATATCCCCAGGGCCCCAAACTCCCCTTAGTTGGCGTGCAAAGGGGAGTTCCTCAGACGTTTTGGTGGACGAGGAGGGTAATTTTAACCGGTGGATGCCTTACAAAGCGTAGGCCATGGTACGTAGGGCGGATTCGACGGTTCGATGTTGAACGGCGCAGGGTGTGGCTAGCATTCCGGTGGAGAACACCACCGAAGATCTTCGGTGATTCAGAGGAGTCGAAAGCAGGAATAGTATGCCGTGTCGAGACTGAAGCTGTCAGCAGGGGTGGGAGCCCTACCGGATGAACCATATGGGGGCTTAATCTAGACAGCTAGGACTGTTTATATCGTATTTTGACTTATGCGCTTACAGAGAAGGCAGTGCGGTCGTCGGTTGTTTTGTAATAAGTGTGAAGACTAGCATTAAACACGGCACTGATCCGCCCATATTTAAGCAAACCAAGCTGGATCCCGGTGCATATTGCTACTGTGGGCAGAAATGGAAGATGCAGGCTACGTGCTGTTTAGGTCTATGAAACTACCTGGGGCTAGCTGGTGCGAGAAACAACAGCCCGAGCTTCCCTCACGCTACCTTCATGGAGTGGCTTCGCCCGAACAGCAATTACAAAGCCTGTGCCTGACTCTATGCCAATGCCGGTCCCCCATACCCAAACTTCCCCAGTTAATAATCCGCGGAGCGCTGAGAGGCGCACAATCGCATCACTCTTTGGAGGATATACCTCGATGGCTTCAGCAGGAGGACGCATCTGCTCCTCTCACTGGGTCACCCGCGTCTAATAACGTCTCCAGACGGGTCTCACATGCATACCCCCAATGCACATAGGACGTAGATCGGGGCCGACCCCATGCCTGCTTTCTTCGTTCTCAGCTAGGATAGCAGGGTTAGCACCTTTTCTTTCTCTTATAGGAAGGTACTCAGTCATCTCAGCGAGGTTGAACCCTTACCCCCATATTTGCTTCTCGGTGGAGTAGTCAGTTACAAGCTTCCTCTCAAGGGGCGGCAGCCCCGCGATGAACCATTGATACGCAAGTTCGGGGTCCACAGGCAAACTTCTGTTCACTAATGACTGCTCGCGTTCAACGTAGCGTTCTACCAAAATTTGCCCTTGCTTAAGTCTTCGTACTCCGGACATAGTCGATTAGCTTGCCGATCTCGGAATAAACCTGCACCGCAGAGCATCTCGGAAGGCTTGCTCGGACCTAATGTGTTCTGGGAAAGCGAAACGGTTGCTAAGCCGTAGCCACCATCGTTGGGCATTCACGAGAAGATATCACTAGCAGTTGTACTCCCTTCGATGCAATATTAAGATGGAGGTATAACTCGAGGCAACCGAGGAACACCTCTACCACTTCGGCGTCCTGGTGTCTGTCCTATGGCGTTCGTCAGCAGAGTCGGAGGCATTCTTCCTGAATTGGTGTTGGTGAAAATTCTTTTTATCCCGGTTTCTGTGCAGTCAACGAGCTTCCCTCTATTCAGCAAGGCTGCAGAACGTGCGTGACCCCTACATATGCGGGTAAATCATGACCAACCTCCATTGGGCAGAAGGGAAACGGCTAAAATTTCGACGAGATTTTGTCGTTTTAGTTTTTCTTTTATTCCCCTCATTCTTGCTATGAACGAGTCCACCTGCAGGGTATGGTTCGTTGCTCGCACGTGGCCGACCGAAGCCCGCGGTGCTACCGCGCATAACGGTTGCTTGGCTGCCTTGTTCAGGGACAGAAGCGAGCTGCAGGGAAGGTAAAGGGTTGAGGTAAGAGCTTCCACAAAACCATATAGCCGGCATCCCAGGTCCCCTGGCATCCTGGACGTTCAGTTAAGGGGGTGGAGTTGCGGGGGAAGAGGCAACCGAACTGGTGTTGCAGTGCACCTTGCTGCACCTGGCGATGCATGCCAGCCTCACGTGCGAACGCAAGGAAGCTTCAACGAAACTCCCTTTACTGCACGATTTGCCTCTGTATACACTTAAAGAGCGTTTGTGTTTGCTCTCAGGAAACCTACCAATGCCATGTGTATGTTCCTGTGCTAACTGGAGGCAGACCACCCTTCAAAGAAGGCTTGGAGCTGCGACAGAGTTGAAATACGTGCAACAACGAACTCCAAAGGGCTACTGGCACCCTCGCCCATCACGAGGCGGCCCGCGTCCCGTGGCCCAAGGGCGTGGGGCGGGGGCAGAGGCGGTGGTTTGTATCGTGCTGGAACGCACCCCGGTGTAACTCGTGCTGCAGCGCAACCCCACATAGATGCAGAAGCAAGCCCTATTGCTGCACGTATTAACATTATAGACGAATGCTGAACACTTGGCCCTCAGTGGCCAGCCTGCACGCAAGTGGGAATACGTGTAACGCTAGTTCTCTGGCCTTTACCTGACCAGAGACGAGCCGCAATGAAGGCGAAGACTTAAAGCAAGAGTTTCCCAAAAGCAGCTGACCTCCTTCCGCGGAACCTAGGTATCCTGGGCGTTGAGCCCAGGGCCAGGGTGTCGCGGGTAGGAGGCAGCCCGAAATAGGGTTGCAGCGCACCCCGCTGCGGCTGGCAGAGCAAGCCAGCCCCACGCGTGCACTAAAGGAAGCTTCAGGGAAGCTTCCTTTGCTGCGTGCTTTGCCTCGTAACGAACTTGTATAACGTTTGCAGGCGCTTACGTGCAGCATGCCAAAGCCGTCGATAGGCTCCTGAGCTAACTATGCGCTAACTCATGTTACAATACGCGAACCAACTCCTCACGAGCAACGCTTCAAGCTAGCGATGCAAGCCAGCCTCGCATGTGGGCACAACAGAGCTTCCTTTACTGGATGCTTTATCTCTGTAGACACTTATTAAGCATTTTTATTTGCTTTCAGATGGCCTATCAACCCAAGTGAATGTTGCGGTGCTAACGTCGGGCAAACCATGCTACTGTATGAGTGGCGCTGCGGCCCCCAAATCGGGGCTGTGAGGCGGTATGTTGGTAAACATAGAGCTGGTGGCTGTGTTTTTCTTTGAATGTTTATATTATTACCCCAAACCAAGCCGATATTCCATCGGCAAACGTGAAAAAGTTCAAGCTTTCCATGCGTATTCCATTGCGCGACACCCGAAACCTAGCGCGGCTTGCTCCTCTAGAGGCTCGCTGCGGCAGGAGAGGGCCCCGTAGCCGAGCGCTTTTGCAGAGAATCCATCGTGAGGACTTTGTTTGAGGGAATTAATTCTTGATTGAGTGTCTATTCTGCTTTAAAAATCCCATTTTGACGGTTTTTGAGGCCGCTGTGCTGTGAACTTGTAGTAGCTGCAGGTACACCCGGAAGCTCATCTGCCGCTATGTGCCTCTGTACTCGTAATGGGGAAGCGAGAAATTCCAAGCAGCAGAATAAAAGTCAAGAATATATAAATCTGCTGCGAGTTGACAACAGAGCGATCTTCTTTGTGTTTTGTTGCCAGTGACAACGTTTCTCGCCGCTACAAAATATGCGCGAGCTCAGAGTGTGTTATTTCGGCCTTCATGGTATTCATCCTTCTTGTTGTAGTGGATTTTTCTAATGCCGATCGCTTCTTTGTTGCATTGTTGCAAGGGATCTCTGACGAATCAGCAGCTGCAGCAGCAGCGTTTGCTCCCCCTTTCTTCTCTTTCTCAACCCAATCGTGTTCAACTCATAGCCAGCATATATAGAAGCTATTTTCTTCTGAAATAGAATGACGGTCAAGGTGGGGGATAAGGTAGCCGTATACGGCTTCCCCGCTACAGTAAAGTATGTGGGTACTTTCCCTCCAAATAAAGGGGGGGGAGGCACAGGCTCAGCTCATCTCTCTGGCCCCGTTGTTGGTGTTGAATTTCATAAAAGAGGTATAGGAAACTGCGATGGAACATATCATGGTCATCGATACTTTCAGTGTGCTCCAGGCATGGGTCGTTTGGTTCGTGCTTTCTCTGTCAAGCCTTATAGCAGTAAGCCGATTGTATATATATATATATATATATATATATATATATATATATATATATATATATATATATATATATATATACTATATATAATATATTTCAATACAAATACATGATAAATACAAATCCACATACACTCGGAGCATTCGTAACAACAAATCGTTGATAAATTTCTGCTACTTTTATTCAAATTGTTGCTATGTTGTTGTTGTTATGAATGCTTCGAGTGTATGTAGAGCCAGAAGAAGAAGGTGGGGTGTATATACACCCCACCCTCTTCGTGCTCTTTATACACACATCGAAGCATTCGTAACACTCAGGGAGAATCTGTGCTGCCTGCTGCTTGCATTGCCTCTATATTAAAAGCTTTTGTTTGTTGCTGTTGCTGTACAGTATATGAGCTTGAAAGCAGCATTGTGCAACTGAGGAGCTGTTGGTTTGAAACAATATTTGCATGCACTTCATATGCATGCATGCATGCATGCATGCATGCGTGCTTGCATGCATGCGTGCATGTATGCATGCATCAATGCATGCGTGTATGTATGCGTGTATGTATGTATGCATGCATGCATGTATGTATGCGTGTATGTATGTATGCATGCATGCATGCATGCATGTATCCATGTATGTATGTATGTATGTTTTGTGTTATGAATACAGAGGAAACATGTGCAGCAATTCGCATTCAAACTCTTTATAGGCGTCATCGTGCAGCAGAGATATTTCAGGAGTTAGCAGCATTTCGTTTTTGGAATGAATTAGATCATTTTGAGGAAAAAGATGCTCTTGTTAACAACAGGTAAGTGTACATACACCTGAGGTGTATGTATGTATATATGTATATATATTCAGGTGTATATAAGCAGCTATCTATGAATACATATGTATATTCAGGTGTATATAAGCAGCTATCTATGAATACATATGTATATTCAGGTGTATATGCAGCTATCTATGAATACATATGTATATTCAGGTGTATATGCAGCTATCTATGTATACATATCCGGGGGTGTGTGTATACGCACCTCTCTCATCCAGCATGTAGATGCGTATACACCCCAATACAAGAGGAATATAGTATACATTTTTTTATGTAAATAAACAAAAAATATGTAAACTGAAATTAAAAAAATAAACACCAATAGCTTCTGTTTTTTATCGTAGATAGAACGATGCCACAAATACATGACGTAACGCAGACTCTTATGATGATGTGAATAAAAAAAAAGAAAAAATAAATAAAATAAATAAAATAAATAGAATACATAAAATAAATAAAATAAATTAATTAAGTTAAATAGTAAAGGTTGGCTCAGGTCGAGAAGGCCAGGCTCTTCTTGTCTTCTCCTGAAGTTG